ATCTGATGGAGAAATTGGGAGGGGATAGGATCAAGTTCAAGACCACCCTTGATAGAGGACTGACCGCATAATGCAACCCTCTGAAACTCTTAACTTCTTGCTCCTAGTTCTGACTTCTAATATACTTTCTGAGCAATCTTTCTATGGTCAGCACTGTACTAGATGCTGTGGGAGGTATAGATAAAATATAATCCCTGACCTCAAGGAGCTCCAAGTCCTATTGAGGAAATAAAACTAACATGCACAAAATTGCTAACTTGAAAACATAATATACAGTATCAGTCAATCAATTATAATATACAATGTAGTCTAAGATCTAACTCCAAATTCTGTGATTCAGACAAGTGTTGTAAGACATGAGAAAAGTAATCTGCAAGGATGGTAAAATATAATAAACAGAGCATAGAATCTGACGTCAGAATACTTGGATTTAAATGTCAGTTCTGCCACACCACAGGAGTAACCTTGGGCAAATCATAACTTCTTTGGTCCTCAGTTTCCTGGTCTCTAAATGACAAGTTTTAACTAGTTGGTTTTTAAGGCTCTTTCTAGCTCTAAATCCTATGAGGGTTCCTGAAGGAGGCATCTTGATCCAAGACTTGAAGGATGGGTGAGATTTAGATAAGTGTGGAGAGGAAAAGAGTCAAAGGAGGACTTCATAAAAAAATCTGAAAGTAGAAATGAGCATGAGTATTCAGGGACAATGACATGAAGAGGGGTGTTCACTTCTAGGCTCCTCACTCCTACATTATATACATGCACACTACATCTGTATATGCCCAAATATATACCACATCTATATACATAAATATATAAAACTACACATGCAGTCATAAATACACACCATAAATACCACACATACATTTCTACATTGTGCATACATGCATATATACTTTATATGTATATACATATGTATATGATACACATACTGTAAATATATATTATGCATCATACTTTTTATACCCTGTACTCACATTTACATATATGTGCTCAAGCATACACATATCTATAATATGCCTACTGAGCAATCAATTATATGTGCACTTTAAATTCATATTTGATACTTGCATACAACACAAAGGTATACATATACTTGGCATCCATTTACATGGGTTTCATAATCATTGTTGAAATCCAGGGGGTCACCAACAGGCAACCAATAACCTGGCAAAGGCTCTTGTGTTAGGCAATCATAGAGGGGTATGAAAATGAAGTGACAATCACATTTAGAGATACCAAAACCAACCAACAAACAAAAAAAACAGACAGGATGGTCCTCACAGCCCCTTAGATTTAGGGGTTGCCAGAATTAGCTAGTACCAATCTAGGCCTGTCTTTGGGACCTTGGGGTGAAATTGAATCGTTTACAGCCTATTGGGAGGGAGAGAGGGAAGGAGGGACCCTGAGGGTGGAGTGGAAGAACACTACCCTAGATGAGAGAGAGAGAGAGAGAGAGAGAGAGAGAGAGAGAGAGAGAGAGAG